AGAACATTCACAGGTCAATATTCCTTGAAAATACTCTTGCGGCATTAATTGACATTTGCTCCAGATTTTTAAGGTTATGTTTTTTGCCTGCTGAAATGTATCAAATGCCAGTAATTAAAGTGAACCAAAGCGGAATTAATTTTACTCCAGCTGGCAGGTTTTGTGTTTGCTTTCTCTTTCCTTTCATTTTTAATCATCTCTATACACCTTGAATACTATTCCAGACACTGGAGTCATATCCCTCTCTTTTCAAATTCTTTATCAGCGTTTACATTTACACAGTAATGTAAGCAAGGTTGGTATAGGTGATATCTGTGAGATAGTAAATTAAATTGTCATTCCAATTTCTGTGCATCCTTCCTATAGTAGAAATAGGTCATAGAGGTAAACAAGCAACATGAGATTGTTTGATTTCTGTTGTGTGGGTTATATACATTGTGTAAATTGTACTTTATAGTGGAACTCCAGGCAGAATTCATAATTTCAGGATCTAAGTGACATGACTTACATAACTGTTCTTACTCTGTGAACAGTTCAACACCCTTCTCACTACCTTCATGGTAGTGGTACTCAACTAAACAATGAGTAAATGTAGGAGAGAATGGCTGCTACAGTTCTAATTCATTAGTCACCTTTTTTTCCTCCAGACTGCTGACTGGACAATAAAGTAGCACCTGCACATTGATGAATACATCCCTCTTCTTTCTCCTCTTGTGAGCATGTTCCATGTTATGCTGAAAGGTGCTGTGCAAAGTGATAAATCCTTGATTGACTACTACCACTCCCTTTCCAAGTCTGAGGGCTTCTTGGTAGGATGATATCAAAACAGATTGAAGTACAAACACCAGTTGTATGCAAAAGTAGATTCAAATGTTTATTAATGAATATATAGCTTACTTAAATTGCCATTTTGAGATAACTGCTTGAAATTTAGCTTTAAAGCATGTTTTAAATTTTTTAAACTTGTATAGAGTAGCAAATGGTTAAAACTATAGTCCGTTTTTTTTGCCATATGTGTATTATTGAGGACATTCCAAAAAAATATGTAACCCCTAAACAAAGAAATCCCTTTCATTGAGCTGTCTAGTAACCAAGTAACACAGTAAGTATCTTATGGCATATAAGGCAAATTTAATAGAAAAATTACACAAAACATCAAATCACCTACTACAAGACATCTAAAATCATTTAAAACGAAAGAACGACCTCCCCTGGATAACCCTATTAGAAATAATGCGGGTGATGCTCCATGAACCACCTAAGTGGCAGATAGTCACTGATGCAGGCCCAAGTGCTGTGTTTCAAAAGTAGATACACTGTATCGGAGATTACTCACTCAGTGTGTGGCTCAGATGGAGAACAGTCCTTGTGTGGTTCCGTATGGATAGTGGATAAACTGCTTCAATGAAACATGTCTTTATGTTAATTTGTAACTCCACAAGATCATCCCGTTATGGATCCAAAGGTTCATTGAGCGTCTCTCCCCCAGCTCATTGGTAATGACACTGGCCCGCGGGATTCAAACAGTTCCCGATCTGTAGAAGAATCAGGGAGTTTCCCCAGCAAGTGCGGCCACACAGCCAGATGGAGCAGGGCAGTATCCCAGAGATGGTGTGTCTGGGACACACTGGAACGGAAGACTGTGTGGGTTCAGGCAGCAGGAACCAACAGGCTTTTCTCGATCTCGGCTTGAAGATCACACAGCTCTTATTACTGCTGTGATACCGCAGTTTCCAGAAAGACTTGGCTTAGTCCTGTCAAGCAGCAGAACTTCTCCATTCACCTGACAGCGTATGCATGGTAGATCTTGGGTGTCCAGGGAGGTCTGAAAACACGCTGTCCCTAACGTGTTTCCCCCCAAACAGATGGGGCTTCCTCAGAGGGGCGTGTAATCAGTGTCCTATGTAGGTGTGTTATATAGCTCCCTAATGAGAGCTTAATGAGATTCAAATTTGACACAGTAGTTTGTGAGCCATTCTTTGATTGAAGCTGGCTCGTATCTTAGAAAATTGTTATAAAGGCGCCTGTGAAGCCATAAACATACTCCCCAGGTCTATCGTCATTAGTTACAAGTATCTAAAAAAACCTGACACATAAAACGATACTGATTCCCACAATGTTCGCCAGTGTACTCATCAAAAAAGGTTAGCACAAAGGCGGACATGTAAGAGAACACATCCATAAATGAGCATTATGCCAATAATTGTAAACTTTATTCATTGTAATCCAAAATGATCCGGAGCATATATGATCCTCTGTGTACTTCAGAGTAAATAATCAGACGTGAGGTTAGTCAGATGACAAATAGTAAATTTAATGAATGCTTAAACTATAAGATGAAAAATATATACATGCTATGCATGCAAGAAAGTAAATCTATAAGGGGGCACTCCAACGGACGACACCCTTAGTCAGTAGTGACAGTTTTTATCCACTGTGGTCAAGTATGGCCCGGAGCATATAGGAACATCTACATAAAATGGTCAAGCATGAGTTTAGTCAGGCAATAAGCTGTTCAATAATTACAACTGACGCTTAGACTCTGAGGTAATAAGCACATGTAAAGCAAAAATTATAAAATGAAAAATATATATATACAGAACAGGAAGCATTATGTTTGATATGTAGCCAGGTTAGAGATAGCAACTATATTGAGGAAATTCCCTTCACTTCTTTTCCTTTAGACACAAAGGGACATAAAACCAAGGTGTTCCCTTCTATTCTTTTTCTTGTGATAACTAGAAATTCAGGATTTTCCTTTTCTTTCTGTCCTTGTAATAAGGGTCACCCTAACAACTAGAAAGAGTGTATCTCAATAGTAGGGACACAGACTGCAATACAAATCTGACATGGGTTCTTACCTCTCACCACTATAAAACAAATTGACTTTAGATACACTTTAAGCTACAATAACAGTTGCTATATTTTATTTTGTAAAAACACACCGTATTTTTGTTTTTGTGTCTAGGAAAGCCACATAAAATGTGCATTCTGCAACAATGGTTTGCATGTGAACCTTTACCTTCCTTTTTTTCAAATTTTCAAATGATCAATTCCACCAATTCACAACAGTAAAATAGAAGCATGTGTTTATACTTTATAAAACACAATGAAAAACTCGGCACCACGAACCAGTAATTACAGGGTCTTATGATACAATATTCTCATAACCAGGAGGTCAAAGTGAAACAAAATCATTGTTGACATTAGTGGAGTGTAATTTGTAAGAGTAAGTACGGGGGGTAACTTCATCTAACTGAGTAAAGTAAGGGAGAAAAAAAGAAGGGAAGGAGGAAAAAGAGTAGAGTAGAAAGCAGAAAAGTTATGGAGGGGAGATAAGATTAAGAGCCAGAAGGGAGGAAAGGGGGGGGGGGGGCTCTGCACTCAGAGCCAGCTGGATCCAACATTCCCCAGAATACTTAAGGTAAGTAGTATAATTTGAGAAAAGGGCAAACTGCTCCCAATAGAACCAGGTTCACGAGAAAGCTTCAGTCTTGTCTCACTGAGCAGCAGTAAGATTTTACATTAGGGATGCACAGATACTTTTCGAGTACCAGTGCAGATACTTGGCATTTTGATGAGAACTACCAGGGCTGCAGCTGTTGCAGCTGGGACCTGGCTCTGGCACTCCACCACTGTCCTGAAATCATTAGTCTGTATTGTTTTAGAAAAACCGTTGCATGAGAATAAACAAAAATGTATCAGTGCTCGTACTTGTAAGTACTCGGCAAGTACCAGTACTCGTACTCGCAAAACTGGTATCTGTGCATCACTTTATTTATATTTATAAAAACGAAATTGTACATTAAAACAGAGATGTACAAATCCCAGGAGCTCCGTGTGCTCCTTACAAATGACAGCTGCCTCCTAACTTTTGAATTTTTCTCTAGTCTAGCCTTGGAGCTCAAAAGTATCGGTACATGTACTCGTACTTGTACCGAGTACTGTACTTGGTATCTGTGCAAACCTATTTTACATGTCTCTGATCTCAAACACCTTGGCTAGCCACTGTGCTTGCTTCCATACACTTGGAACTTGGTGTCCCTGTGACCCAAAACTCAGCATATAGCGGGAGATTGCCTGCTGTATTCTGACAGCGTAGAGCTGCAGCCGGGATGGATCCCAACAATATTGTCAGAAACCACCCCACTGTCTGAGTGGCAGCCTTTCTAGAGGCAGAGCTAGCTGTGAGCGCCCCTCCTCTGTCCATTCCTCCAGTCAGCATTGGAGGAGCAGAGAGGGGATGGGGGACTCTCTGCAGTCACCACTCTCTGCAGGGAGATGATTGGGAACTGAGTGATCTGTGGTATGTTATCACTCAGTTCCCGATCAATAGAGCCGACGTGTGACAACTCCAGTGTCACACGTTGGCTCTAATTATGGGGATGGGTGAAATTCACTCACCCCATAATTTTCCTTTAAGATTATGAATAGAAAATGGACTCAGTTCAAGATGCTTACAGAATGATCACTGAAAGTGAATTTGTACGTGTAAAGCCCACCAATATATCATGCATCAACTTCTTAGTAAAACACTTGAATGTGTTTGGGGAGAACCAAGATGCTTTACTTTCATCTGGTGATGTCACGTTTGTAAGATGGCTTTATATAGAGTTGGTTCACATAAAGATAGATTTATGTGTGAAAATTAATCTCCACTATCATCAGTTGGCAAGAAAATAAAGACTGCAACCTTCCGATAAGAATTGCATGTACACAAGCCCAAAGATAACCTTTGAATCATAAATAACATTGCTTATGTCAGTAGAATTTGCCCCATGTGTTTTGTAGAGAATATCAAACATCAAATAGGCAGATGAAACAGCAAGTTCTATTGTATGTATTATTCAACATCAGGTGTGATAGATTTCCAGGAATTTCTTCAGTGATTCATTCATAAAAATTAAATGTGATGCAAAAACAAAAAAACTTAGTATTAGTGTAAAGATATATGAAAAGCAATGTGTAACATGTGTATACTTTTATTTTCTTGCCTATAGTCTCAGCGTCGTGTTACATTTCACCTTCCTGATGGCTCTCAAGAAAGCTGCAGCGACAGTGGTCTAGGAGACCATGACCCTGTAGGAAGTGGCACTATGATCTCACAACCTCTTCCACTGGTTCAGCCACAGGACGAATTCTACGACCAAGCTTCTCCAGACAAGAGGACCGAAGCTGATGGTAACTCTGACCCCAACTCTGGTGAGTCCATTATGTAACTACATTTGTGAATGATGCAGATGATAGTTTGAGTTAGCTGAGTGAATTCAACAGAATGGGAAATGAAAGCTAGCCTCAATACTACCAAAAGAAAAGGTTACTTGAGGTTAAAGCACCCAGCAAATTATTATTACATTTTGAATGACTTATTTATTAAGCCAGATTGCATAACCAAAAAGTATTATTTGTCTTAAGTAGGCTACTATAACTACTCTTATTTAATTCTGTGGGCAAACAATTTAGTTAGATCATCGAAACCATAAAGGAAATATGTAGGTTGCCAATGTAGATGTCTGGCTGTCTTAAGCTTTTATACTTCTCAAATCAATGACCGGCAACAAGAATGCATCAGTGAGAAGCCAGATTTCCTGATCTGTATGCTTGTTCCAGGCCTTTGAGGGCCCATGCACACCAGTGCATATACCAGTTTTTGTTGCTTTGAAATGCAGGCCATCAGGAGATACATTGGGGTGCACTATTGCACTGTGCAATAGTGCGCTACATATTTCTCTTGTGACATGTTTCCCTTAGCTAGCATATTAATAATTAAAAAGTAGAAACACATATCCCCCTGTAAAGAATATATATTATACTTACCTGTGATACATTGATCATCTTTTTTTCCTAGTGTTTTCACTGGATCTTTTACAGTTACAATAACAAATATAACATATAGTTTGGAGGTAATGAAAAGGCATGATGGGGGTGCTATTAAAATCTCAAGAAGCATTTCCAGTATGATACAAGTCCAAAGCATGTGAATGTGAACTTTGTTTTCCTAAAGTGCTACAGAATGGTGTCCACAGTGATGTGGGGACCAGTAGAAGAAACCACAATGCTCCACTGGTGACAAGGAATGTGACAATCTTTTAAATGTAAATACATATCCACCCCCACACGCTTACCCCAATGCTTAACACTTGAGTACATGATCTCTGGTAATTCCAGCAAAGTACTATGTAAAAAATATCTAATTCACCATAAATCTAATGAAGAAATGAAGTTGAAAAGACCCATCCAAAGGAAATTCCTTCATTGGATTTAGAGTGGGCTCTTAAAAGTGTGCCAGATCAAGAGGATTATCTGGACACAATGGGGGTGATTTACTAACCTAAACACACACACACACCAGGTGTGTGTGATTTTCACACAGCAAAACGTATTTATCAACCAAAAAGTCTCTAAAAGCATATTTCCACTAATGCCATATATGGAAAAATCATGCACATGATGCATATATAATGCTGCTTCACAGTTTAGACAAAAATGGTTAGCTCATGCATTTACATTCCTGCATTCATCAACGCAAGCAACATAACATAGAGCTAATTTACACCACATTACCTTGCAATTCATTGCAGGGCTTTGCACAACACTCCTGCTGGGTGTGTACACACTACAAAGGTGTTTCGATTCCTCCCATAGATCATGCTGGGAGGGAACACACTACAGAGGTGTATACACGTTCGTGGTGTGTTTAAAAGGTTAGTAAATCAACCCCAATATCTCTTGAAGGGAGCAAATATTTGTGGCATAGGCAGTGAAACAGGTACTCTAAGTATAATGTATCTTTGTTACGGGGAGTATTAGTTTCTGCTTTGATTTTGCATCAGGTTCACTTTAAAGCATTACTTAAGCAAAATAACTTATCAACAGCAAAATAACGTATTACTTCTTTATACAAGGAGTTTACAATGGCTTCCATGCTCTTAAGCTACGGGTACTATATGTAGATATTTAAACGTATTGTGAAAATGAAAAAAAAAATAGTTTCATTCTGCATGCTTAGAGTGTAACAGATTGTAATGATAAATAACATTGTAACATCTGGATATAGTTGCTGGAGCATTCCTTTTAATTTAAATATTGTAGCATATCTGTAGCTTTTTATTTAAACAGATTATATGGGCTCTTACCATTCTATTACTCTGTTTTGAGAGATGTCTTTCTATAACAGCCACTGACCTTCTGTTAAATATTAACTGGAAAATTTCAGGGACATTTTGTCTACAGTAATTCCCATGAAAAGATTGATGTACTCTGATTTTGCTAAAATTAATCCAGAAATACATAAAATAGCACAGAACTGTATAATGTCTCTAATCTGTATGTATTGTAGACAATCATTGCAGTTAAACATGTGTGGAGGTTCCATAGAAATGCAGCATTTACTAAGACATTTTAGCTGACTATTTCTTATGTTCTAATAGCTCTCTGTAACCACTGCCAATTCATTTGAGTCACTTAAAGCTATTAAGAGTAGCATGCAGAGTAAAGGCTGGGTCTTTCTCTCTAGTGATATCTATAGTTCTATAGGGAATTAAATCACAACAGCAAAATTAGGTTTTGTAACATCAGAGTGATTTAGTCTGTTATTTTCAAACTGGTTGCTTTACTATTATTACAGTTTGTTGCTATATGAATGAAGATAACATTTATATGTTCACAGTCTACCGTAGCATTTTAGAGGGCTTTTGTTATGCAACTTTTTTTGCCTGTTAAGAAGATGGTTGGAGCCTCTTCTATAACCACTTTTGTGCTTACCAGTAATACAACTATTGCAAATAACTGTCTTTGAAAGATTACAGTCTTTTGTAGTTGGATAAAAAATAGTGTTTTTGGAAACTCTGAGTCAAGTGAAATTTGGTCTGTAGACAGTAGTTTTGTATAAGGCTGGAATGGGATCAAATCCCTTCCATTTTTTTTTTTTGCATCTTAGAACGATCCCCCATCGTTTCCTTATTTCAGAGAGAACATTATGAATGGAACAGGTGTGAGGAGACTGCTTGTCACAGGAACCCATGTTTTCTTATTAATGCTGTCTATTTCTGTTTTATGTTGGTTTGTGTCCCCATTAAATATTTATTTTCACTTCCTGCCCCAATGTCAACTTTGTTAAAAGAAAGAATGGTAAGGAGAAATATCCACAATGGCTCCATAGACAGCAATGACTAGAATTACAATTTGATATCATAATATTTTCAATAGTTTACTCTGAAAATACACTAAAGTTCCTTTTTAAAGCTTGACGCCAGGCAAGCAGCAAAATAAACAGATCAAATAATATATAAGGTATCTGATCTGTAGGGGAAATCATCTCTTCTATACACACTTAAGTATGATAAAACTTAGGGGGTTATTCAGAAAGCTAGCTGAAGAATCAGCCGTAGGTTCGGCTAATCCTTCGGCTAGCTTTGGTTGCAGGGAGCCCTTTGGTTCAATTGAACCGAAGGGCTGCTGTACGGGCTATTCACCTTAACCCATACAGCTCCTGAAGGCGGCCGAGCGGCTCAGTCAAGGCGAAGGCATATGCTTTGGCTTGACTGAGCCGAAGTGACAGCCGAATGGGGGCGAACGGCCAACTGACGGCCTCGCAAATGACATCTGGGTGGAGCCAGCCATGATGTCATGACTGGCTCTGCCCAGCTGTAATGACAGATCAGTGTCCCCAAATGACCTGGGGACACTGAAATGTCATTAAACAATGACAACTGGGCAGAGCCAGCTGTGATGTCACAGCTGGCTCCGCACAGTTGTTATTCATTGGCCGGGACCTGCTAGAGCTCTCTTGCAGGTGGGCGGAGCTAGCTGTCACTGCTGTCTCTGCCCAATTGTTTGCTTTTTAAATTATTTTTATCTATTTTATAAAATCTTTATTTGCTTTTTTAATGTATTATTTATTTACATTTTTAAACATTTTTTTTCTACTTTTTTCATTGATTTCCTTTTCTGCTTGGTACCGTGGAGGAGCCGAATGCCGCTCAGCTATTCACTCACTGCCGTTTGGCCACTATGTAAATAGGGGCGAACGGCAGCGAGTGAGCTGCTCCCGGAGCTTCAGCTCAGCTGATCCAGATGTTGGATTGGCTGAGTCAAAGTCCTTCTACACTTCGGCTCAGCCGAGCATGCAGAGCATGTTCGGCTGACCTAAGTGCAGCAGAAGCCAGCCGATGTACAGCTAATTTCAGCCGATGTACGGCTGAAATCATCCGTACAAGCCTGAAGTGAAAGCCGAACAGCGTTCGGCTCACTTCACTTCGGGTGGGTTATTCACTCGGCGGCTTTCGGCAGCTTTGTAAATAACCCTTTTAGTTTTGTCTTCTTCTTCCTCCAGTCAGTACAGAAAATATCCACTTTAGCCACTGCAAAGTCTGATTTGAGAAAACAGGACCAAAGTGATCATAGCAACCATTTAGTTTCCATGTTTTCTTTTTTTTAAAAAAGAAAATGAAAGACAAAGGGGTCTATTCACGAAGCTGCCGAAGGATCTAGCCGTAGCTTCGGCCGATCCTTCGGCTAGCTTCGGCCCCAGGATCCCTTCGGTTCGGTAGAACCGAAGGGGTGCTGTACGGGCTATTCACAATAGCCCGAACAGCTCCCGAACGTGGCCGAGCGGCTCAGTCGAGCCGAACGCATATGCATCGGATCAGCTGAGCTTTGCTGAAAGCCGAAGCTGGTCGAGCGGCCGGCCATTGGCCGGCCGACAGCCTGCTTCTGACAGCTGGGCGGAAGCTGCCGTGATCTTATGGCTGGCAGCGGCCACTCCCTGGCGCCCCGGGAGTCTCCTGCTCCCGGCCACCAAGGAGAGAAACACTGCTGTTTCTTTTTTTTTCTTTATCCTGACACGGAGCGATGTCAGAATAGAAAAAAATATATATATTTTCCCATTGAAATGCATTGGTACATTACTATTGGCTATTTCAATTTGCAATAGCCAATAGTAAACTAACATTGTACCCGCCCTCTGCTGCAGTTCTCCATCAGGTCCATCAGCAGAGGGCGGGTACAATGCTAGTTTACTATTGGCTATTGCAAATTGAAATAGCAAATAGGAATGTAGCAATGCATTTCAATGGGAATTTTTTTTTCTATTCTGACATCGCTCCGTGTCAGAATAAAGAAAAAAAAAGAAACAGCAGCGCCCGGGAGAGTTTTTTTTTCCTTTTTTTTTGACGGCAGCAGAGCCGCCAGACAATAGGAAACTATTGGGTGGAGC